CTCCAGATATGGCAACATAAGATTACCATCTTTTTTGTTCGCTGCAACACCATCTTAATGGGAAAACATATACAAATGTGGAAGGTGTTAAAGAGGACATCAATATGTTTTTGCATCAAAGATAAGTGATTTCTTTAATCAGGGCATTAACAACCTGATTGTAAGATGGAAAAGCATCATCGATAAGAATGGAGACTATTTCATTCAATAAATGTTTTGTTTTGGGATATAACTTGTTTGGGTTTTTTCATCTAAAAAAGCTACATCGATTTCTTGATGACGTAATATATATGAAATGTTATATTACCAATAATTAATCTACATAAAGCACCCTTTCTTTTATAGTAACCAGGTATATAGCTATTTCCCACTCATATATTGACAAGCACCAAGAATTGCTAGTCATGCGATATATCATCAGCTAACAACAATTCAGCTATAAGACATAAAGACAAACTAACAACTTCTAAACAAATACTAACACTTACTAGCAGTGAACTATACGAGGGATTACATATACCAAACTGCTGCCAATAACTACAAACAAATAATGATTTTATAGAACATTCTGGTGATGATAATGAATCATAAGACAAGTATTTCCTTATACATATATGAGGTACAACTTGCTAAATAAGCAATAATGACTATTAGATATGACACACATTGTCAACTTCTGACTATAATCAATTATAAATACTAAGATGCATCAGAAATATATATAAATATATTATTAATCCATAAATAATTATGGATTAATGTATATCAAAATTGTCCTGCCATGGAACAAGTTTTGAACATTCATGGCTTCTAGATAAGGTGATGAAAAATTAAATCAAAGTATTGTATGTGCTAACACTTCATTTAGATCAGGAGTGTTAAAGGCTTAAGATAAAATTCCTTGGTTTTGGTGTGGAAAGAGGAATAGTTAGAGTACAAAGTCAGTAGTATAAGTAGTTGAGAATGATTACACTTCCAAAGGAATGTTTTTACATTGTAATTTGTGTGGACAGTTTCAGATGAAAACACATAACATAAATAAGACAGTACGTGTGTTTCTATAGCACTGTGGTTTTCCTTGATTTTTCTCTTCTACGTTTCATGTTGAATAGGGGTTTATAGGCTTATTTGCTAGTTACGAATTTGGAAATGTTCTAAACATTTGGAAGCTCATCAGTGACATTCAAGCAGTGTCAGGAATATTTTAAACATAAATTGTTTGACTATAATTGAATAATAATTATGCATTGAATATCACTCAGATGGAAAATTTGACCTTCCAATAAGATAACTAGCCTCATACACATAACAGCTATTTTCTTCTTGAAGTCATGTCATTCTGGCTTAGAGATGTGCATGCCACCAGCCTTGTGAAACTCCCACCTAAATTTCATGTGAAAAGATGTGACTACTCTATTTCATGATGACATAACATGCAGCAAAACCCTCCACCAAGAGAAGTGTGACATACCTCTTCACGTAAATGCTTTTTCTACTTTCACATGTAAAAATACTTTTAATTCCTCGGCACTGTTGTGCTAAGATGTGTTTATTTTTGCTAAGACTTACTTCAACAACTTCAATTTGTATTTTCAACCTTTCAATATGAATTCACAGATTAACATGAATTGTTTTTCTGCTGATGTGTGTAGAAATATTGCTCACAATTATCAACAGCTTAGGAGTTCTTTGTCTGTTGAGAATGTGACAGCTATCATGTGTTGTGAAAGGGGCTGATCAAATTGAAAAATACAGTTAGAAGAAGAAGAGTTATGTAACATCATCCGATGTGTGGTGAGGTCCATATTGCTGCCTGGACCCTCTTCTTCTGTTCCTGTCACACATCTCTCTTCACAGATTTTGAAGCTGAAATTGAGGAGGAAGAAATGGAGCAACTTTTTCTGCCTAATACTTTTCTATCTAATAAATATCTCTAGAATTTTCTCATTGTTTATATACCTTCTACTCATTGTTCCCTTTTTTCTCCCAGACCTGTTTGTGCTGCACCTGGAATTTCCGTCGGATTTAAATTCACTTGATCTTTTAATTTGTATAATGCCTTAAACAAAAGTTGTTGTATTAAAAATAAAAAAACATATACATATCAGCTCCTTCCTTTCCTTTGAACAGACATTATGGTGTAGCACAAGGGGGTATGGTTAGCACCTGCATTACTTCAGTAAAATTTACTAAATGCCTGTTGTACAAGATGTAACAGAACTGTTATGGTAGAATAAGCATAAAGCATAAAAATATATGCTAACACAAATAATTTTAGTGTTGAAAAAGGAGAGCACAGTTGTAACTCTACACTCCTCCCTCCCCAAGTTGTATATTTAATTAATGAACAGTGTTGTTAAAAATGTTGTGACTGATAATAACATTCTCTCTCTCTTTTTTTTTTGCAACCTTTTGTTATAGTTGAAGACCCGAACTCTTAGTATTATTATGTTCTGTGTTGCTGTTTATTTATTATGTTTATTAGGTATATTTAATTGATCAACAACTTCATGTTAAAAAGACTATGATTTTTAGCCTGCATTTCTTTTTAATTGACTCAATATTTTTTACTTAAAATATAAAAATATGATAACCCTTTTGTATAACATATTTTAAAACTACATGTTAATGTTTCACTTCATTTATATGTATTACCTGTAAAATAAAAGGGTTTTGAATCAAATATAAAATAGTAGTTATAGTGACATCATCAATAATTTATGTAAATTAGTATAATTAAAGGTTTAAAGCTTTATATTATAATGTTTTGGGACAACATGGGACCAATTGCTTCATCTCGGCTGTTCCATCCTCTAAACTAAAATAAAACTATTTATAAGTAAATTAGAAAGAATAATTAAAGCCAGCTCTTATCATTCATATACTTATCAAGCTTTCTCTTAAACTCTCTTAAATTTATTGCCTCCATAACATCAGAAGGCAACCTATTCCAAAGGCTAACCACCCTGTTAGAAAAATAAAATTGTCTTAACTGAAGATGACTCCTACCCTGCCAAAATTTATATTTGTGTCCCCTAGTCCTACTAGTCTCACTGTTAAGTATGAAAAAAGATGATTGATCAACACTATTAATTCCCTTTACAATCTTTAACACCTCAATCAGGTACCCCTAACTCTTCTTTTTTTTCAGAGAAAAGAATTTGAGAGATTTCAACCTCTTCTCATATGACAACCCCTCCATCAATGGCACTATTCTAGTAACCCTTCTCTGAACCCTTTCCAACAATTCAATATCTTTCCTAAGGTAAAGAGCCCAAGACTGAACACACTATTCCAAATGTGACCTAACCAGTGACCTATACAATGAAATTATAACCTCTTTAGACCCGTATTCAATATTTCTGTACATACAACCTAAAATCCTATTTGCCCTACCACTAGCAACAGCACACTGCTTGGG